GCTGATCGAGGCAGATGGCCTCCCGCCCTGAGCCTGGTTCTGCTGGAGGTTTCTTCCTGATGAAGGCAGTTTTTCACGGATGCTGGTGCTGCTCAGGATGGGAGTCTGTGAAGGGATTCGACACAATCTGCTGGCTTCCTTGGACTGCAGTGAGAGAGAGTGGAGGAAGTGCTGAAGTGTCTCATGGCGTTCAACCATATCAAACTTAAAGTTATTCAGCTTCCTTCAAGCCAAGCATCTGGATCCCCACAACTCCCCCACCACCATCACCATACCTCCAGAGATGCTCTGTAGGACCGAGCGAGGAGGAGGAGGAAGACATGCTCTGTTTTTACAGCTGAGGTCACTCCAGTTGGTCATGCAGGAGTAGATAAATATCAGCAGATGATAGAAGTGTTTTCAGCCTCACACACAATAAAGAATGAACTCAGTTTGAACAGAAAGCGCAGTTAATCTTTAGGATTTATGAGATTAAAAGCTCCTGTATCAGAGCATCCTGATTTACTCAAAGTTTGGTTGTTAGAAACTGATGAAGAAGATCACAGTTCATCAAAGTCAGTCATCAGGTCTGTCTTTTTATGTTACATTTTTATACAGAGCATAAGAAGTGCACAGAGTTTAAAAGTTAAAATAAAAGTTTAGTTTTTTTATCTACAGTTTTTTCATATAAAAGAAAAATACATTTTTAAAAAAAAGATCTACATCAGGGGTCCCCAACCTTTTTTTTCCTTAAGAGCTACTTTCACAAAATGAATTTGTCAGAGATCTAGCTAGTTTTAGCAACACATAATTTTAAACTTAAACTTAAACCACTGGAATAAGCTTGTTTTGCACAAAAAAAAACATTGTCTTCAATTCACATGAAACCACCACGAAGAACACTGAATTTACATGAATGTGCTTTTTGTGTTTATCCATTCATATTAGTGTATTTCACACAAATAACTTAGGGTTTAACTGCAACAGATCTGTGCACAAATAATGTCGGGTGATGGGTCTCCGATTTCTTTTCCACATTGTAGACTTCAGAGGGAAGAAACCCCCTGTAGTGACATACACCTCNAATTGATTTGGGTAATACACAGAAACTTAAAGAGCTTGTTAAGGGTCAATTGAAGCTTAAATTGTTTGAGGCTGGTGTGTTAAAACCTGGTGGTGATAAACTATGTGTGTCGGTAGATTCGTCAGTATTAAATGCGCCTGCTTTGTCTTTTGAGCAACAGAAAGAATTACTTTTGTTAAAATATAAAGCTGAACAGGAAAGTCAGAAAATGCGTCAGGAAACGGAACAACAACAGAAAGAATTACTTTTGTTAAAATATAAAGCTGAACAGGAAACGGAACAAAGACGTCAGGATTTGGAGTTTGCTAAACT